ATTAATTTTAAAAATATCTTTGATTAAAAGCCTGAAATACCAACATGTGCCCCTCTGTCTGGCTCCTCCTTCTGGGCCTGAGCAGCAAACCTGGCCACATGGTAAATAATAGGGGCCACATTGGTGGGACCCCACAACTGGACATTCCGGATTGCATTTCTGTAAGCTTCAATTACACCATTTATTCCTAAAAAGATTAAAATCTAATACTTTCATATTCTGATGTTGATATATCCTTGACACATTAAAGCAGGATTCCTAGCCTCTTCAAAATCACTGAACCTTATACACTACTGTAAATCACTTTTTATTCGTGAGAACTTTATTTTCGCGTAATTACGCGAGACAGTGTGCTTGTGAAAATTTAATTCTCACGTATAATGGCATTCCTTAATATTATACAGAACAATAACCGTAATTCGTGAAAATTTTGTCTCGCTAATCAAGGGTCAATGACTATCTTGCGAAAATAAGGTGTCGTGAAAATTTAGTGATCTACAGTATACTTTAATGTAACACTTGCCAGCACAGTAGGGATTTGTGGGGTTGAAATTCAGAGCAAACTCCATTGAAACTGTCCCATCTGGAATCTTTGCTCCAAATCCAAGAGCAGGGAATAACTTGTCCCTAAATAATCAAAATATAATGAAATTCTTTATAGAAATTTTAAGGTATCAATTGTCTTCCCTTCCTTTGTTATTACCTAAAAATGTAGCCTTAAACAGCTTTTTTCTTATCTGTTATCTATTACTTTTATTTTTATTCTGAATTTACAATTTTCCATCATCTTAACACTGTGTTATCCAACACCTTGTCTTTTCTGATACAAAATTTGTCTCCCAGTGCATGTCGGATTAGACAGGTTTCACTGTAAATTCACAATTGACTTACGTGTCATATTCCTGACACACAGATCCCACGGCCATTATAGCCTGCATGTATTGGTTGGGATTACCAGCCATATCAACAAAGTGAAGGGAGTCTGGATGATTGGGATCCCCATTAGATCCCGTAAAATCCACACCCACCTAAAAATTAGAAAAGACCAATTCATCTAGGATAAAGATGAAATGTTATGACAAAAATCTGACCTCATTACAGGTGCCAAGAATTTTAAAAGATGGATATCAAGCATTAGTCAAAAGATTCCTTAAAAGGATTATGGATGCTTTGCTTTTTCACTTTAAATATACATGTACATGTAAATGTATAGCTTAATTCCCTGCTTAATTCTCCGGAAATTTGTGGAATACCCAGCACTGGATACTTACTGTAAAATTAATCTGCATTCCACCATAAATGAATTCAAGAAAGTTTGGCATTCTGAAAAGCTAATTAAGAAGAACAATAAATAAGTGAAACCCAATCTAATTAAAATTAAACATTTCCAATCTGCTACTTTAATTGGCTTCTCAAGCAGTAGCTGTCAGTACATCTACTTTTAAATTGGTTAACAGAGACCCATGTCAATACTCTGAAATACTGATTGAGCCTCTTGGGATTGAGTTCTAAATCATAAAAGGCATGGACCGTAGTATTCATGACAATGCATTTTGACAATTAATATATATTATACATTATGCACAAGTGAAAAAAAATTAACAAATGAAGAACAATTGTAAATATTACACACACAATCAACATTATACCTTGATCTGTGTAATATGTGCCACACCAGAATTCTTTTTGTCCTTCTTGTACTTTTTCTTTGGGTTTATGAATGGATACTGTAGCTATAATGAAAAATCCAGTACGCAAAAGTTTAGAATCACAGAATGTAATAATCGTAACATATACATGTACCTTTATCCTTTGCCTAAATCATTGTTGATAAGGTGCATGTAGATGCATTTGTTTATTTTGAACATATTTTATTGACAATATGTCAAAGGGATTGGACACAAGTTCCAAAAACTGCATTTATTAAGAGATACAAGTTTTTTGCTATACATGTATCAGTCTACATTTTTTTAGGGAAAAAACTTCATGTACATGTTTGCCAAAAAAAAAAAATAAAAAAAAACATTATTCTGACATCTGAAGAATATAATTGTGCTTGTTTCAATTTATTCCCTTTAAAAAATGAATTAAACTCATGGGTACCTCATTTCCACTTGTTGCTGCCTGCTCTAGTTCTGCAATAGTAGTGGTGAATGAACCAATCAGATCATGGGATCCATCGCTGTCATAATCACTGCAGGTAAACTGATAGAACAAAATATCAAGTGTTTTTAAATCATAATTAATTTTCACTACCATATGAAAATATCTTGGATAGTAAATGTATCTCCATTACCTATCACTACCAATTAACATACCTGGATCGGCTGTGTTTTGTTGCCACCACACAAAGCATGTACTGCAAGGTCAAATGGCCTCCAAACTGGATTTAGTGTGTCTTTGCAAACCTTTACAATACTTTGAGAATTAGTTAGGCACAGTCAACATATGGCAATTAGAAATTATTATTGACAGTAAAAATTAGAGATGGTTATGAGAC